CCATCTCCTCTTGCTTCCACTTGACTTTGGTGCGGCTATTATTCCCACTCCCTTTGTCTCCCTTTTATCTTCATTAGCACCTTCTTGTTCCCTAAAACTAAACTGACCTACTTTGAAAATAAAACTTTTCCTTTATTAGTAAATTAATAAATTAATTCAACCACTCATTCATTCATTCAATAAGCATTCGTTGAGGCCCCATTATATATCAGGCACTTTGGTTGGTACTAGATATTTAGGGGTGAACAAGACAAAAATGGTCACTCCTCTGACCTATTTTATAATCTAGGGAGACAGATGGACCAAAAGAAAATCCTAACAAACAAGAATAAGCCAAGATACCAATAAAATAATCCCACATATTAAAAACTGATTAAGAAGTAAAGAATATCCATAGTAGATCAGCCAGGGAAGGCCTCTCACAGAGGAGGGATTTCAAGAGAGACTCACAAGGTGAGAAAGAGCCCGCCATGTGGGCAGCAAGGAGAAGAGGGTCTGGGGCAGATGGAATGTCATGTGCAAAGGCCCTGTGGCAAATAAGAGGCTGGCTTGTTGGTGGGACTGAGAGAAGGCCAGTGTGGAGAGCTTGGGAAGGTATGGCATGTAATGATGCTGGGGGGTGGCCAGGGACAGATCACACAAGCGCTTTGTAAGCCAAGATAAAGATTTGGATTTTACCTAAGTGAGATAGGAATCCTCTAAAAAGGATTTTAAGCAGAGGAAAGATATGATAAGATTGACTTACAAATGGGGTTATTTCCAGATAACTCATCCTAAATTCAAAATATTATAGGTCAAAAATGCATCTAATACACTCAACCTACCAAACAGCATAGCTTAGCCTCACCTACCTTAAACATGCTTAGAACACTTACATTCACCTACAATTGGACAAAATCATCTGGCAACACAGTACACTACAGAGTATCAGTTTTTCATCCTCATGATCTTGAGGATGAACAGGAGCTGCGGCTCACTGCCACTGACCAGCGTTGCAGGAGGGTGTCATATGGCATATCGCTAGTTGGGGAAGAGATCAAAACCCAAAATTCGAAGTACAGTTTCTACTGAATGTAATAATTGTCCTGTTTTGCCCAGGACAGTTCTGGTCTATTCCTATTATCCTGGTACAATTATCAATAATGCTCCTTTTCATTCTTGCAAGTGACTTGGTTTAGATGATAAATTATACAATCACCTGAAGGAGAGGGGCAAAGTATGAAAATAGGGAAACTAGGCTGGGCGCAGTGGCTCACGGCTGTAATCCCAGCACTTTGGGAGGCCGAGGCAGCGGATCATGAGGTCAGGAGATCAAGTGCATCCTGGCCAATATGGTGAAACTCCATCTCTACTAAAAATACAAAAATTAGCTGGGTGTGGTGGCAGGTGCCTGTAGTCCCACCTACTTGGGAGGCTGAGGCACAAGAATCGCTTGAACCCAGGAGGCGGAGGTTGCAGTGAGCCGAGACTGTGCCACTGCACTCCAGCCTGGCAACAGAGCGAGACTTCATCTCACAAAAAAAAAGAAAGAAAGAAAAGAAAATGGGGAGACTAGTTAGATGGCTACCGCAGTACCCCAATGAGAAATGATATAGCCAGGAGCGTGAAGGTGTAAATGAGAGGAAGTCAATGGATTACAGATGAACTTTGGAAGCAGAATCACAAGACTGGCCGGCAGATTGGATGTGGGGCTAAAGTGAAGGGAAGCATCAACACATTCCCCTATCTGGTGTGAGGAACAGAGAGAATGGCCATGTCATTAACTGAAATGGAGAAGCCTGGAGTGTGAAGAGTTCTGATGGGAAAACTCAAGTTCATTTTGGGACACGTTAAGTTTGAGATATCTGGAAGCCAGCTATGTAGATATGTCAAGTAGCCAGTTGGATGTACAAGCATGGAGCTCAGAAATGAGGTTTGCAGGTAGAGGTATAATTTTAAAATCCATCCACATATAAGTACTATTTAGACTTGTGAAAGAGAGCATAGCGAAATAAAGAATGGGGGCCCAGAGCCAAGTCTGAAGAACACAGAGTTTGGGGAGATAAAAAAGGCCCAGCTAAGGAAATAAAGGAGAGCCGGGCGCTGTGGCTCACTCCTGTAACACCAGCACTTTGGGAGGCCGAGGCGGGTGGATCACCAGAGGTCAGGAGTTCGAGACCAGCGTGGCCAATATGGTGAAACCCCGTCTCTAATAAAAATACAAAAAAAAATTAGCCGGGCGTGGTGGCGTGTGCCTATAATCCCAGCTACTTGGGGGGCTGAGGCAGGAGAATCGCTTGAACCCTGGAGATGGAGATTGCAGTGAGCCTAGATCGCGCCACTGCACTTCAGCCTGGCAACCGAGCGAGACTTCATCTCAAAATAAATAAATAAATAAATAAATAAATAAATAAATAAATAAATAAAGGAGAACGGAGGTAGAACGGAGGTAGAGGGTAATATTATGCTACTTAGAGCTGATGAAGGAAAGAGTAGTATTATGAAGCCAAGAGACTAAATATATCAGGAAGGAAGGGGAGGCAACAGCATTGAATGTTGCTCACAGGGCTACTAATATGAGAAGAGAGAGATGTTCATTGTTTTGGGCAGCGTGGAGATCAGTAGTGACAAAGTTATTTTGCTGAAGTTGTGGGGACAGAAACCAGGCTGGAATGGGTTAACATATGATCAGAAGTGAAGAATGGTGTGTAGATGAGCAATACTTTCAACAAGTTTGACCTATTAAGAAGAAGAAGACAATGTGCAAGAGTGAAGAGTAATGTGGGTTGAAGTACAGGTTTTCAATGTGATAATCTAATTCAGAAAGCAACTACTGAGTGCCTGGACCCTGCTAGGCATTATGCATGCAATGATGAACAAGATATGGTGCCTGTTCTCAAATCAGGCATTTCCCCAAGCATAAGGGCTCTCCTGGCCATTTAAACCAAGTGCTGGAGATCCAAGAAGAAGAAAGGGGTCTCCACTGCTGAATCTCTTGGCCTTGTTCAGTGTATCGCAGGTTCTGGAGTCAGATAAACCAGCCCGTAGTCCTGGCTCTGCAACTGTTACATGTGTGACCTTGGAGAAGGTCCTAAACACATACCTCTCTAAACCTCAGTGTATCCAGCTGAGAACCTCAAAGCCCTCTCTGCAGCTTAAATCAGATATTTAAAGTATAGGGCACAGTCTTGCAACTGCAATTTAAAAAGGCAGCTATTCTAATTACTATTTGCTGACTTCCCATACCCCAGCAAAATTTGGACTGCCACCAGTGTGTGCTTCTGTTGAGGCTCTTACTAAACTGTGTTGTCTATCTACATATCTCACTTCCCCTTTAGGACAGGAAGTAGAATTTTATCTGAACTAAAAGCCAATGAGATGCTGGCCAGGTGCAGTGGCTCAGGCCTGTACTCTCAGAACTTTGGCCAGCTGAGGCCATGAGTTCAAGACCAGCCCAGCCAACATGGTGAAACCCCATCTCTACTAAAAACACAAAAGCCAGGTGTGGTGGCCCATGCCTGTAATCCCAGCTGCTCAGGAGGGTGAGGTGAGAGAATCACTTGAACCCAGGAGGCGGAGGTTGCAGTGAGCTGAGATCGCACCATTGCACTCCAGCCTGCTTGACAGGAGACTCTGTCTCAAAAAAAAAAGTGTAATTAATAATAAATAAAATAATACAATAAAATAACCTTTTGACCAAAAAAAAAAAAAAAAAAAAAAACCCAATGAGAATAAAGATAAGGAAAACCAACAGCAGAGTCACTCCTTAGGTAAAATGAGCAGGACAAATTAAAAATTGAGTCAGAGGAAGCACAGGTGTTGATAAGAGATAAACCAGAGTCGGCCAGGCAGAGGGGCTCAGGCCTGTAATCCCAGCACTTTGGGAGGCCAAGGCAGCAGATCACGTGAGGCCAGGAGTTCGACACCAGCCTGGCCAACATGGCAAAACCTGGTCTCTACTAAAAATACAAAAATTAGCCGGGCATGGTGGTGCGCACCTGTGGCCCCAGCTGCTCTGGAGGCTGAGGTGTGATAATTGCTTAAACCCAGGAGGCGGAGTTTGCAGTGAGCTGAGATCGTGCCACTGTACTCCAGCCTGGGCAAGAGAGAAAGATACTGTCTCAAAAAAAAAGAAGAAAAAATAAATAAATAAATAAATAAACCAGAGTCCAACATAGCAGTTTCTAGGATAGAACTCCTAGGATTAGGCTTCTCTAAGCAAGGTACCTTCTTTTTATTGAGACATGGTCTCACTCTGTCATACAGGCTGGAGTACAATGGAGTGATCATAGCTCACTGCAGCCTTGACCTCCTGGGCTCAAGCAGTACTCTAGCCTCAGTCTCCCAAGTAGCTGGGAATACAGGCACATGCCACCATGCCTGGCTAATTTTTTTTTGGTTTTTAATAAAGATGAGGTTTCACTGTGTTGCCTAGGCTGGTCTTGAACTCCTGGGCTCAAGCGATCCTCCTGTCTCAGCCTCCCAAAGTGCTGGGATTACAGGCATGAACCACCGCACTCAGCCCACAATGTACCTTCTCGATATGGAAAGAGGTCCCTGGGGGACAAGGCCTAGAGGCAGAGAGAGGACAGGATGCAATGAATTAGGCAGTATAAAGTCTGTGTACAGAGACACTGGAAACTGCAACAAAATAACCTGTGAGGCCCCGAAGAAGAAGTGGGGATTTGGGGGTAGAAGTCCCATCTGAGTTACAAAGGAGACTGATAGAAGGCTGCCCAGGGCTGTGCCAGAGCCATAACTCCAGCCACTCAGAAGCCCAGGATGATGGTCAGTGCTTTACCTGCTAAGGCTTACTCAGGAGGGGAAGCTGGGGCCGAAAATGACCAGAGAAGCTTGGCTTGGGTCATGTGAGGAGCCTGCATAGTTATAGGCCAGCTGGGAGTCCTTGGGCCCCCCAGTCACAGGCTCATCTACCATGGTGCTGTTCATCTTCCATATGGCCTCAGATGACCATTCTTCCCACAAAGTCTGCCTCAATGTTCCCAGTTTCCATCAACAAGTTCAATTTGACAAACATTTATTGAACACCTCTAGGTGCCCTATACCAGTTCCTGGGGACACCAAGCTCAGTGAACCTGTGTCCCTGTCTGGGGGGAGAAGTGTGTGGCTCATAGCCCAGTCGCCGGAGAGCAGAGGAGCAGGAAGCTCAGTCGTTCTTAGGCATGCCATCAGGTCTGAAGCGATCAGGGTCTTTGCCACTCCGGCCCCATTCCTCAGCTTTCTCAATGGACTTCGAGTCCTCCAATACAGTGCTGCTGTTTCCAAATAAATAATAGTCTAAAAGTCCCTGAAGATAGACCCTGGTACTGCTGCAACCCAAAGAAAGGAGACAGGAGATTAATCTCTTGACTCACCTGAGATAGCTCCACCTGCTAACTCCCTCCTCTTCTCCCACCCAAGGAACGACTGAGAGGAGGCTGGAAAACTCATGGAAAGGGGAAGAAGGCTATCAATCTTCTTGGGCAAAGTCCTAAGTCCGCTGGTACTTTCTGTACTGTGCAACAGAGTGCTTTCCCTTTATTATTATTATTATTTTTTTATTATTATTTTTTTTTTTTGGAGACAGGGTCTCATTCTGTTGCCCAGGCTGGAGCGCAGTGGCTCGATCATGGGTCACTGCAGCCTCGACCTCCTGGGTTCAAGGGATCTCCCACTTCAGCCTCCTGAGTAGCTGGGACTACAGGTGCATGCCACCATGCCTGGCTAATTTCTTTTATTTTCTGTAGAGATAAGGGTTTTGCTATGTTACCCAGGCTGCTCTTAAATCCCTGGGCCCAAGAGATCCTCCCACCTTCCTCCCAAAGACTTGGAACTACAGGTGTGAGCCCCTGAACCCGGCCCCTGCAACAGTGTGCTTTCCAGACCTCTCCTCGGTTCTTACTTTCCCTTTGTGGGTGAAAGGAGACATGTCCTCACCAGCCTTGCTCTGGCTCTGCCAGCCACCCAGACCCCAGGAGTATGTGGAGGAGGAGAAAGAGCCACAGGTTCTCCTGATTCTCAAGACAGATAGGCACTGCTGGCCTGTCACTGGAGTCCCCAGGAATCTGTGTTACCTGATCAGTTTAGCAGCCCAGACACCCCCAGGTCCTCTTTCGGCAGCATCATAGTTTCCCTGAGCATAGAAATATCTGTTTGAATTCTGGTGACTGGATGTCAACACATTCCAATAGGCTGTGCCCAAGTCCCCAGCCCCTGGAAAGAAAAAAAAAAATGACAAAAATGAACCTAGTGCCATACTGGAGAAATGTAGAAATGATCATTTTCCACTGATTTCCAGATTTTGACCCTTGACAAAATAATCCTTTGAAATCATACATACAGACAAACATTACTTCCTGTGAACAGCTTTCCTGAGTAACTGTAAGGAAGGTGCTTTTCCATGCATTACATTGAATTGAATTGGTTGGCAGCTGTCATGCCCTAGGCTACATCTTACGTGGATCTGTGTGTGCTATGTACAAAGAGGGAACGCTCATGTGAGGAATGTCACAATGGAGAATAGTACTACAGATGTAAGATCCAGGGACATTACAAGGGACATGGAGGGGGCTGTACATCTACCATAGCCCATAAGAAAAATACATCCTTACCAGCTGACTGAGGACAACTAGGACTTGAATAAATCTGACTGTTATGGGCATAAATGGCACAGGAAAGCCGAGGGAATGGGCAGTACGTGATGAGGTGGAATGACCTGAGAGAGCTTCATAGGACCTGGATAATCAGATTTATCATGAAGGGAACGAATGTAAATGTTTAACTCTCTGCCCCGACAATTAAGTTTCAGTTTCCACATTCTTCAATTGGGGGGATTCATACCTACCTCCCTGGAGGACTAAAGGAGAAGATAAAATGAGGTAACATACACAAAATGCCTTGCATATTGGAATACTTGATGCAAGTTGGATTCCTGTTCCTATTAGTGAAGGGCAGTGGTGACAATAAGATACCACTATACACCCAACAGAATGACAAAAAATTTTTAAACTGACAATATACACTGTGGGCAAAAATGTGGAACAACTGGAACTCTCATAATTGTTTTGGATTTTGTTTTTGTTTTGTTCAGTCAGGATCTCCCTTCGTGACCCAGGCTGGAGTGCAGTGGTGTGATCAAGGCTTTCTGCAGGCTCGACCTCCTGGGCTGAAGTGATCCCCCCGTCAGCTGGGACTACAGGCACCTGATAACACACCCAGCTAATTTTTTTTTTTTTTTTTTGGTAGAGATGCGGTCTCATTTTGTTGCTGAGGCTGGTCTCAAACTCCTGGCCTCAAGTGATCCTCCTGCCTTAGCCTCCCAAAGTACTGGGATTACGAGTGTGAGCCATCATGCCCAGCTCTCATAATTGTTCATGGAAGTGTAAATTGGTACAATTTTGGGAAACTACTGGTATCTACAAAAGTTAAATTGACATGACTCTACCTTATGACTCTACACTTCCATTCCTAAGTGTATACCTACAACAGAAATGAGGGCTTATGTAAAACCAAAGTACACGTACACCAATGTTTATTGCAGGTTTATCCATAATAGCCCAAAACTTAAAAAAGCCTAATTATCCAATAACATAGGATAGATAAATAAACGGTGATATCAGTATACAATGGAATACTACGCAGCAATGAAAAAGAACAAAACATTAATACACATGACAAATGTTGCCATGTATATTAATATGTCATAATGTTGAGTTAAACAAAGCCAGATACAAAAGACATATTCTGTACAATTTCTTTTATTCAAAGATCAAAGACAGGGACACTAATCAATAATGATAGAGGTAAGAATAGGAGTCAGCTTTCGTGAGGGTTGTTAACTCGAAGCGGGCATGAGAGACCCTTCCAAGGTGTGTGAAATGTTTGACATCTTGATCTGATGGTGTAATATGGATGTTTGTATGTGTAAAAAGCTCATCAAGCTATACAGTGTACTATATGTAAGTTATATATCATTTTAAAGTTTTTTAAAACATTAGTGGAAAAATAGATGTTTGAAACAGGTCTAAGCCAGGAAGAGCTATAGAAAGTGTCTATCAGTGCCTGTGTTGTTCAATCAATAAATATTTTTGAGTTCTGCTGTGGTTTACGTGTTACCAAGTTCTTTAAACCAACTCACTTGGGAAAAAGAAAAGCTGTGATAGTTTTAATTGTTACTTATGTACTGTGTTCTAAGGGATATTTCTCACTAACTTCATGTATTATTTTGTGTCTGTAATTTTGTCAAATAGTTTATCTCTGGCATGGCATAATGACTGTCCTTTCTCTGATGCATGCTTTATGTTCATTCTATGTTTTCCAGATTGACTAGCAAGAGTTTTTTCCAAGCACCTGACAGATTCTGTCACTGGGTGGCAGAAAAACCCAAGACAGTTGTTCTCATTGGTATTGTGCTGAAAGTAACCTGGGGAGTTTTTCAAATGCTATTCCTAGTCCCAATTCAATTCTAAGATTCTGACTCAGTAACTATGAGAAGAGGCTCAGGAATGCACTTTTTAAACAAACACACCCAGCCGATTTAAATGCTGGTGAACCATACAACAAATTCCGAAACACAATGACTTAAGGAAAAAGATACTTTATACTACGTGCAGAAAAACTTAGCACATGCTACTAAAACTTTTTAAAAACTATTTAGAGAATATCATTTTTTAAAGCACAAAATGCAGAAAAAATGAAAATTTGTAAAATTTCAATTGAAAAATTACAAAAAATTCAACTACAAAATTAATAACAACACATGAAGTTCAAAGTGTTGCAAAACCTGACAACAAAGTTTTCCCATTTTAACAGCTAGTCAGTAAGATTCATTTCCCCTCCAGAATGGCAGAAGTCAGTTTCCCAGCCGTATCTCAGCCCTCCTGTGGCTAATCAGTAGAAATTTGCTCTTTTTATTTATTTATAAGTTAGGGCTTAATTTTCATAAGCTCTGCATCCCAAGCATTGGCTATTTGCTTGCGAACAGGATGGGATTTCTCTGTGCAAGCACTATTATTCCACTCTCTCCTAGGCATGTCTCAATCCTGGAGTATAATTGTGAACTCAGTATGTTCCCAGAGGTGGATGAGCTAAATAAACATCATGCCCTGAGAAATCTGCCATCTGTAAATTTCCACAGTGGGAGATCACCCCCTAGAAGTCTTTATCCTTCTACACTCTACACCAACAGTACAGGCTAGGCCCAAAGCACCTTTAACCGCTCGTCTGGAAACCCCAAGGGAGGGTGATAAATTAGACCAGCCTAGAAGAAGAAACAGATACAGAAACCCACACTCCTGCTCTGACCTCTGTGTGGCTTCTCTAAGGAGCACTCATATCCAGTGAGTATGTGGCCCCTGCTCAGAATGAATGCTGGGTATGTGCCCTCCATCCTCCAGAGTTCTTACCTTGGAGAGCCTCCTTGAAAAACGAAAACCAGTTTTCACTGGTGACTCCCATGACCAAGGAGCAGAAAACAATGCCTGTGAAAAGCCTCATTGTGCTGAAGAGAAAGAAAGAGAGGGGCAGAGAATCGTAAATAAAACACAGATCTATGTTTTGAGGACTGAACTTCTTTC